TGTAAATGATTTTCGGAAATATTGCTGAAAGTCTTTGAATTTCCTTGAAAAAGGCTCCGAATCTTACTAAAAATCCCTGAAAAATGTTTTCAGGCATTTTCAGCAAAATTTTCAGACAAATTCAGAAAAATTTTTTCACCAGGGATATTGACATCATTTGGACTAACTTGTTTTCACTGGGTGGTGATGTGAGGGGGATATGGAAGGACACAATTACAAAGAGAGACTTACGATCTATTTTGCAGCTCACAGATAGGTACGCACGGAAGGATTATACGCGTCGAAAGCTTTTCCAAAGGTCTGGAAGAGTCAACATCCTGAAAAAGACGCTATTATACTCACAATCAATTTCACAGACTAGTGCAGCGTGATCGTCGATTCTGTTTTGAGTCAAGGAACTTAAACCTAGGATTGGACCAAGCGCGATTCTTACGTATAAGGCAAGAGATGAACGAGGCGGTGAGTGAGGACTTAAAGAAATAAGAAATAAAAATTTACTCATTTAAATTTATTCTTAAAACTAAACATTTAAATTTGCGTAAATGAATTGGTACAAATAAATATTAATTTCATAAAAATTATTTAAGTAGAGCATCAATTAAGTAGAGCCGCTTTAAAATATTGCAAAGCTTAATTATGTTAATAGGATGACATGTAAATGTGAGTGTGTTTTGGCGGATGCTATTACACATTAATAATAATAATAATAATAATTACAATAAAGATTGGTGATGTTGTGTTATACAAAAAAAAATAACGTGGTAATAATTATATTAAAAAGTATTATTCGTAATTAAACTTTTATGAACATTAGTATGCAATACATTAATATGGTATTTATTTATTTAATAATATTAAAATATTTATAATTAGGTTTAAGTATAATATTTGTAATAATTAAAAATTAGTACGATATCGTTGTAATTAACATTATTTAGATAAGTGTGAATGCAACAGGATAAATAGGTATTAATGTATTTCACGAAGGGTTGTAAAAGGAAGAAAATTATTATAAAAAAATAAGGACCATAAACGAATATCGGGTATGTGGTAGAAAGACAGGAATGTAGGAATCGCGAGGAGCGCGGGATATGTATGTGCAAATTTCTTCACGGTCAAAATAATCGGTGGTCTATTGAAACGGCACCTCGAGGGAAGTGAGTAGTACGTTGGTCGAATTGAGAGGAGTAACTCCAGCGATTCATACATATAGTTTCCGTAATTGTAATATAAACGTAGGCGAAGAGCAAGTATTTTATTAATTATTTTACAGAAGAAAGTATCGGAAGACGCAGGAAAACCGGCCTTTTCCGTAAAGTTATTTCATTCCGTTGTGAGAAAATACTCATACAAAAATTATCTATTTATAATTTTGACTTTCGTTCATAAAAAAATAAATTTTCAGAAAAATAGAGGCATGTTGAAATTATTGCTTTGAAATTCTGACAAAACGCTTCAAAGCTCTACAATGTTAGCGCTAGATAACTTTTAGCAACAAATCCAATAAGAACAAATACAATCATATAATTTTATTATACAATTATATATTTGTAAAAAATAAATACTTATATAAATAAATGAGGAATAATCTTTTTATATTATTAAATAACATAGGCACAGATGTATATACACAATACGCGCGCGCGTACATATATAAATTTCGTATCTATAATTTTCTACTACTCATCACGTGATCTACATTTCGTTTATCACTTATAAATTCATGCAATACTGAGTTTTTATATTTTCTTAAAAGAAAAGTATTCATTAAGACTGATCAATGAACTGATCGAAAACTTTATATAATTTCACATACATTTTATTATAAATAATAGTTATACGAATGCATAAAATTCTTATACATTTTTCCTATATATAGAATCTTTTTACATATTTCTCTTATAGAAATAATTTGTATGAATTTATCGAATTATTGAGATTTATATACTCTTAATTAGTTGTAGATTTGCCAATTAATTCTTGTTCCCTGCGTAATTCTTGCTCACGTTGTTGTTCTCTATTCATAGCTTCCTTTTGCTTAATATGTTGCAAACGTAACACGCGCTTCTGCAATACATTTTTTTATAATTTAGATGAAAATACTTATATTAGTTATATTACGCATATTTTAAAAAACCGTTTTCTATAATAATTTACCTTTAACTTAGAAGTCCTTTCATGAATATTAATCATTTCTTTCCTTATTACTGTTAACTTTCCTTGATAAATTTTAACAGCTGAAAACTATACATTTATTTTTTCATTTTTCTATTGTGAGATGTAAAATATTAATATTTCAAACAGATTGAGTATTCCTAATCCGAAGTTGCGAAAATTAACAAGCACTAAAAATTAAACTTTTGAAAACATAAATGCATTATGTCTATGTTGATAAAGGCGTCAACCCTCACCATCGTCAATGCTATCTGCACCATTATTCACTGTTTGTTTTGTTTATCTTCTGCTCTTTATCGGAAATTATTGAAAATGATAAAAAACCTAGTACCTTCCAAATATAAAAAAAATCCAATTTTTATTTTCCTTTTACTTCAACTCCACCATACCACGATTTCGAAATCCAAAAATATTCAAAATCTAAAACATTTTCAGTTCCAAGCATTTCGGATTACTCGAGATACTCAACCTGTACCATAAGAAAAGGAAAAAAGTCTTACCATATCATTTAAATCTATATCTTCGAACGTCTCATGTATCTTTTTATTCTCAACCTGCATTCGAGTAAGTAGAGCTTCTTGTTTATTTCTGCAAAAGAAATGATATAACACAATAAAAATGAAATCTTTAAAATTTGTGTTACTAATTTACATACTTACGTCAGTTCGCAAAGTTCTTGTTTAACTTGTTCCAATGGAGGTTGATAAATACTCAAGAGACCTTCCGCCAATTTTTCCGCAGCTTCTGAGAAATCTACTGTATTCTCGCTATTAAAGAATAAATAAAAATTTTTAAATTATAGAATAAATTATTAAAATTAGTGTATATTGTATAATTATTTTTGTATATTTTTCATTATACAATTTAAAAATATATTATGTTTATACTATATAAACATCGCTAGCTTATTATTGTGTAAATAGATGAGATAATTTTAAGTCTTAAATACGTAAACAAAAAATTTTGCTAATATTGATTTTTTCTTTCAATTATACACATATTTACAGATAAGGTGATACTTTCTTTTCATTGTAATCTAAAAACTTAAAGAAAATCGTGTTTATATTGTAATAATTGTATATATAATTTATTACTTTATTACTTCTATTCATACCATGGCATAGTTCTAACAAAAGTTTTGACTTTAAATGAAAAGCAAAATGCTTAACTCGCCTGATGTAATATTTTTAAGAATAAAATAATATTTTAGCGTGAAACTCTCTCTCTCTCTCTCGCTCTCTCTCTCTCTCTCTTTCTAAGTATATTAAAATTTTAATTACATTCTGAATAAATAAATAGCTTGATCTAAACGATTTTCTTTAGAGTTTTCACTGAATGATGGACATTTAGGTGCCTTCACAATTCCTTGAGATTATATAGCATATTTATTTCTCCAATTCCTGATTATTGTTATTAAAATTCAATGAATCTTATTTCTGAACTTAAAATAATATATGATATGGCCTTATTTTAATTACAATTTAAATTGATTTAAACAAAGGGGAGGGGGGTTTGGTATATGTTGTTCCACCAGGTGGTGGAGTTGCCTTCAATTTTTTTCCGTTTTACTCCACCGGCCGGTGGATTGTAGCGCCTTCAATCTTTTTGCAAGGTTATATAGCGCAATTTGCCTTCAACTTTTCCTCGAGGTTATATGGCACCTTGATTTAAACAAATACATAAAGAGGTTACCTCGGTTGTTTCTCGGTTTTCAATTGAATCTCCGCCGCCCCGGCTTCCCCCACGTCGGTCATCATTTTTAACGTTGCTTTCTCTTCACTTTATTAGCGTTTATACATGTCAAGCGTAATAATGCGCATCAAAGATCTGCAAAGATAAGAATGTATGTACAAGACAGAATTTGACAGTTTGTCAACACGTCCATGTCAGCCATATCAGCTGATTATTATTGGCTGCACGTTGGCAGATGCCATTGATTTGAGCATGCGCAGTGATACCCGCTCCATTTTCCACTTTCCGCTCGGAAGTGGAAGTTGCACATCCGGGCGCATTCAGATTTTCATCCAAGTGTCGTAAGTATTTATATTTTATTCTTATTGTTGCTCACCGAATGTTAAACAATTAAGGATAAGACGATACCTGCCAAGTATTTGGGTAGGAATTCGAACACGCCCCACACGAAACTTCAATAAAAATTCGTGTTTTGCGTAAAAAGAACGATTTAATAAATATGCACTAGTTAAACCTTAAACACAATGAAAAGGAACAGGGAACAGAAAATAAGAATTAATGTCAACCTATCAGAAACTGTGTATTCCGTAGTATACAGTTTCTGATAGGCTGAAATTCTTATTCTCTGCTCCAGCTGTTCCTATTCCTTTTCGTTGTGATTAAGACTTTATTACGCATGCTCCATGGCCATATCCGCATGTGTCATCATCAAAATGCGCGAAATATAAAATATTCTAAATCCATGTGGAATGATCGCTTCGTGTTGTAAAATATGCAGGAACGCGACTTCCTTATGGAGGGTATGGAGCTTTTTATACCCAGAGCTTCCGTGGAATTCCACATCCAGAATCGGAGTATTAAAAAAAATATTTTAATTTACAAATATGTAAAAGAAACGAAATTAAATGTAGAAGAATATATATATTTCACACATACAATAATAAAAGAAATAAAATATTTGTGTATTATTAAAACAATCCCTCTGCCCCGTTTTGATGAGGTATTTAATCCATTCCCAGAAAAATCAAAAGTCTTTGATAAAGTGTATGCATAGATGCAGTGTGGGTACCGTTCTACTCCTCTACCTAGCTAGGAGGGACTCCACCATTGTAAAACCTAAAACATATATATAAGATTGACACAGAAAAGTTGTTTTCCGATATAGAATACGTAAACGTAAATCGTAATCGTATAGGTCAACGCATAATTTTTACGTAAACATGTATATGTCGTACCAATCGTCTCTGACGTCACAATGATATACAGGGTGTCCGAAAAGTATGACAATTAATCCCTTAATATTTCGGAAACTAAGTGTTTTTGTGAAAAATGTTTTAGACAAAAGTTGAAGCTAGAGCTTAAAAGAATTTAATCTATTTAATAATTTTACCAGTTTGATTTTGGGTGACAAACATTAAATATATAGATTCTTTTAAGCCCTATACAAAACTTTTGTCTAAAACATTTTTCTCAAAAACGCTTAATTAGTTTCCAAAATATTTAAAGGTTGCCACACTTTTCGGACACCCTGTATATATACATATATATAT